GTCAATTACAATGAAGGATGGGTGAGTGTGCAAATTTGTCTAATACAAAATTTGAAATTCTTTAAAATTTCAGAAATGTTATTCTTAAAAATCCCAAACAGGACCCATGCCAGGAGACCCCAGCAGACCGGCCTGCTACCGGCAGTAGTCCGGTCTGCTTTGCCGGTACCGGGTCTCCCTTGTAACATCTATGGCATGGTGTTCCTGGGCAGGGTACTTCTAATACTCTAAATTTATAAAACAAGTTTGAAGTGTGATTCCCAACATATTGAAATTGGACCCAAATTTTTGACTGTACAAGTTCTCTCTAAGTTTATTTGTATTTTATTTTATTTTTTGGTGAAGTTTTAGGTATTAATGATGTATCATGATAATCATGAAGTATAAATTTGATGTCCCTCCCCTCCCTTTCGCCCTCTAGGACCCATTTTTGGGAGCCAATTTGTTTTTTCTACCCCCCTCCCCCTGTCCAGGCCCCATGCCCTGAGACCCCAGCAGCCGGACTACAGCCAGCAATAGTCCGGTCTGCTCTGCTGGCGGGTCCCTTCTAACATCGCATGGTGTTCCTGGGCGGGGTACCGGGGGTACTTCATATAATCGAAACTTATAGGCCAAGCCTAAACTACAAATTCCAACACAATGAATTGAATTTGAACTTACTAAAATTATTGACTGTACATGAACCCAGTTTTTATTTTCATTAATTTTTCTCTTTGGGGGTCAGTTTGGTTTTTGTTTAAAACTATACATTTTTTATGTTAAGTTGTTTTTCTTTAACTTCTTTTCTATTAAATTTACTTCTTCTCATTTTTGACCAGTTGTTTTCTTTAATCATGTTTTGTCCTAACCTCTTATTTGTCTCAGCAGTTTCAAATTGGTTTTTGTCTCAGTTTTGTTTCAAACTCTTTTTTCTTCTCTTTCCTCCTTCCCTTCGCCAGTCTAAGACCCATGTCAGGAGGTCCCAGCAGTCGGACTGCATTGCACAGGGCCGCAGTCCGGCTGTTTTGGGCAGGGGTCACCTGGTCAACAACATCTGACAGCATGGTGTTCCTGGACTGGTTACTTCTTCACTTGTCTTTTTTGTTTACTTATTTTCTTTCAATTTTTTTTTTGTTTTCACACACCCAAACACCAAGCTCCATAACACCCCTGTTCCAAAACCCAAATTTTTCCCTTTTTTCGGTTTCCTTTTTTTCTGGAGGAAATTTCTTTGAACAATGGTAAAATGGTCAAAATCTATTTTTACACTCACCCATTACTTTTGCTTGGATGATGGCACAATGTACTATATATTATGTCTGGTATAATAGTTAATTTTCTGAGATTATGGCAGTCATGTTATATTTCCTTATGTATAACATAAATCATGTTTACAGATGATGACACTATTTTTGTAATTAACTTTTTCCATGTGACCTGGAACTGATGCTTCACTGATGTGTAAAGTCAAAGTGGAATCCAAATTTTATTTGTCCAAGATTAAGAACAAATATGACTTCATGTTTAGATCTTAGCAGTACGGCTCACTGTACATTGTACATATTGTAAAGTAATATTACAATATATTCATTTTGACATGTGTACATAAGAAGATTCTGAATGTTGAACCATCATGTCTTACATATGACAGGTGTATGTTTAGATCTTGGCACATGTGCCTGAGTGTTACAGTGTACATACTACATTCCACTGTTAAATGTCCTTTATGTGAATAATGCTTTGTATGCCTACAATAAGAAAAATTATGTGCTTTTTCAATCTGCACAATTATCAACATACAGTGTGCTAGAAACCTGCCCAGAGGAGACCACGGCAGGTATCCAAATTATATTTGTCAATCTGATATTTAATTGTATTATATGCATGTACATTATATACATACCGGTATTGTTAAATGTTCTTTGTGTGAATATGCTTTGTATGCATGCATTAAGAACAGTATGCTTACTAGTGATTTTGCACAGTGGTCATTTTTAAACGTAAAGAAATGGCCTGGCACTTCGGTGCACAAGTGTGCCCGGCCTCACTGTATTAAATTAAATGTTCTATTGTATGTATCGACTTGTGAAATAAAGAAAAAAAATCTCTTCCCAAGTTTTTAAAAGGAACCTTGTCTTTGTTATTTTTGGTTGAAAAATGTTTACTATAGGTTATATATCAGGGTAGGGAAGTGAGTGAGTGATGTGAGTGAGTGAGTGAGTGAGTGAGTGAGTGAGTGAGTGAGTGAGTGAGTGAGTGAGTGAGTGAGTGAGTGATGTGAGTGAGTGAGTGATGTGAGTGAGTGAGTGAGTGATGTGAGTGAGTGATGTGAGTGATGTGAGTGAGTGAGTGAGTGAGTGATGTGAGTGAGTGAGTGAGTGATGTGAGTGAGTGAGTGAGTGAGTGATGTGAGTGAGTGAGTGAGTGATGTGAGTGAGTGAGTGAGTGAGTGAGTGAGTGATGTGAGAGTGAGTGAGTGAGTGAGTGAGTGAGTGTACATACACGCACGCTCAGTACATACACGCACGCTCAGCACATACACGCACGCTCAGCGCATACACGCACACTTAGCACATACACGCACGCTCAGTACATACACGCGCGCTCAGTTCATACACGCACGCTCAGTACATACACGCACGCTCAGTACATACACGCACGCTCAGTACATACACTCACGCTCAGTACATACACGCACGCTCAGCACATACACGCACGCTCAGCACATACACGCACGCCCAGCACATACACGCACGCTCAGCACATACACGCACGCTCAGCACATACACGCACACTCAGCACATACACGCACGCTCAGTACATACACGCACGCTCAGCACATACACGCACGCTCAGCACATACACGCACGCTCAGTACATACACGCACGCTCAGCACATACACGCACGCTCAGTACATACACGCACGCTCGGCACATACACGCACGTTTAGCACTTACACGCACGCTCAATAGATACACGCGCGTTCAGCACATACACGCACGCTCAGTACATACACGCACGCTCAGCGCATACACGCGCGTTCAGCACATACACGCACGCTCAGTACATACACGCACGCTCAGCGCATACACGCGCGTTCAGCACATACACGCACGCTCAGTACATACACGCAATGGGAATCCAGATCAAACCCCTCACTTTTGTGACAAAAATCCTCTAGCGTAACTATGATATAGAGGCTGTCACTCAAAAACGATTCTTTTCACATCTGTTTATACTCTATAACATGGAAATCATTTAATATTGAATCTATGATCAAAATGGCACTTCAACACTGTTTATAGTGTAACAATCACAGCTTTGTCTGACGTCTACACAAAGAAAAACAATCAAACGTGCACCATTCAACATCACATGGGAATGCAAAAAGAACTTTTAAATATTGCAACTATTATTTTCAAATATCGAATGACATGCTAGTGCAACAAAAGCCGACTGAACTGACATGAACTATTGTTGTTTTTGTTGTTGGAAAAATGTTTGGCTCCAGTGAAAGTACGTTGTTGTTGTTGTTTACCACTACGCTGTTAGGCATTGGATAATTTTGGCTTCATCGAAACAATGACGGGTTGTTGTCTGAATCCAAACGTTGCTAATCTGCATCAAACTTAACAGAGTTCATTTTTATTTTCCCTGGATAACAGTGAGCTATTGATAGTTGGTGAAATTATTCAGTAATGTTTTACTATCTTGTCCACAGGCGGTGACATCTGTAGCTAGAGTTATGTATTGTCCCAATGAGTGTCCATTTGATGTAGAGATCTGATATTGCTTTCAAGTCTCCACAGGTACAACAAAAACGCTTTAAATCATGTTAAGCACGTACCAGACAATGCACCTTCACAATGCGGGTACGTGTAGGTCAAGACGTACAAATTTAGACAAGTCAATATATGTAGGGTCTATGCGAATAACCACCATTGAGAGCATCATGTATGAGCTCCATAGAGGTTATTCGCATAGCCCCACCACAAATTTCATTTCTACAATCAACATTAATGAAATATACATTTTCCTCATCAATTACGCTAATTAAGTCTTAACTAACATCATTAATATGTAATTGTATGCATCTTCACGTAAGCTACCTACAAGCCGAAAATCACATCTACTAGTATTCATACCGTTTCGAGCCAGACCGATTCTAACTTCACGACAAAAATGCCCCTGCGTTTCGACAAAATCCCGCTAGGAGGCGCACATCATAGGATTGACCCTGTATTGCCGGTCGCTATTATCAGTGAAATATACAGATTAAACAAGTATATCACGTGTATTGAAGACACCAATGGCGTAGACGTTTGGTCCATACTGTACATAATATGGTCTTTGAAGACATCACAAACATGCTCCACGACTCATACACACAGTCCTTATTATTACATAACCCCAACAATATCATTACAGAAAAAGTTTGGTCACAAGATTCGAGTAAAAATCCGGGGCAACATACAATATAGATATTCAGATATCTTGTATGACCACATGTTAGCTGCAAAACACCTGGACCTACAATCGCCCCCTTCATTTGACAGAAGCGAATCACTGAAGATATTTTTCTCTAATATACGTTGTACAATATGCGTCGAAAATAAAATACTTACGAGTACAGCAGTAGTTGATGTCATTAACACCTGCACCATATATGACTTACTGTTTGAAACTTATTAGATTGCCATATCAACTGCGAGCATATGGACGACTAGTGTCTTTCATGTGTTTGCTGGACGTGACGACACATGTCTTTCACCTGTTTGCTGGACGTGACGTCACGCGCCTTTCACGTGTCTTTCACGTGCCGTCCTCGTGGCACAACGTAACTGGAACCATTTGGAGACGAGACGATTTTTTTTTATTTCAAAATTTGTAGATGTTTCATTGATAGGGAATACCAAGTCTATCACGTTAACGTAGTAAAACATAATATACGAGCACACATTTAACCTTTCTTTCTTTCGTAACATGTCATATTTGAAGTCGTTCTGAGTCTTTCAGTTATGTCTCTGCCGTGATGCGCAAGTTTGATAGTCTATTGACGGATTTCATCTGATTTGGTTGGACTCGATTCGACAGAAGACGACTCAGCTGAGAATGTAGTTTGTTCCATCTGTGCACTCAGCCGTCTGATCTCCTCTAGCTGAAAGGAGAATCTCCTGTTGGTAGATTTGGCGCTGGAATTTTTCGTTCGACTCGGGCTGTCGACCGGTGACTCGATTTGTTCTGACACGGCGGGAGAGTTAGGGATACTGCCGATGTCTGGTATAGGCGGTTTGGGGTTGAAGTTTAGCGGAGGCAAAATTCCTGGACGTGTTTGTGATATTTCGTCCATGAGAATAGTTCCTGATCCCCGCCTCTTGGTTCTGTTTTGGTACCGTAGTATGTCGATAGCGGACGCGGTGGCCTTGTCGTGTAACTGCCGAAGCCGGTGTAGATGTGACGGGGGAGTACCACCACAGTAGTCCGGAGAAGGCTCACACGAAGACTCGCGGTCTGAGGATGACTCGTAAGGATTGAGTCTGGTTGGCAAGAGCGGAGGAAGCGGCAAAGAACCACGGCGGGCGTAGCATGGCAACTGGGGAGCTTCAGTCTCGTGGTTCCCTTCTCGCGAGAGTGGACGAGAACTCGGCGCTGATGACGAATGTCCAGTATTACTAGCCATAACTGGAAGAGTCGACTCGAACTTCGTTCCAGAATCAAAACGTATTGCTTCACAACTCTGCTGCTTTACCAAACGTCTTTTTTCTTTCCGTTCTCTTCTATCTCTCGGAAGTCGTCTCTCTGTTACGGCCAGAGGTGGTCCGTCCTTCCCGACATTACTGAGCTTGCTGAGGGAGCCACATCGCGAACCTTCCGTTAGCTGACGCAACTTCTCCGCGGAACTACTTTTCTCTTTATTCAATAGACTTAGTTTGGCACTAGAGGTTACCACATTTGGGTCAAAGCTATGGCGTCGGAGCAGCGGAATTTTCGGTGAACGTCTCCCGGTTCTATCCAACCTTCTGATCTGAGAAGACACCGTGTCCTCCTCTTGATCGCTAGCGTCATCCGTATCTTCTGAACAAGTATCAAGTTTAGAAAATCTGGTGGGCAGCTCTCCTATGATGACGTCTTCGACGCCAGGGTCCAGAACTGGATCGACACGAGTTACCTCTTCTTCCCGCTTAGTGTTCCCGGCTGGTCCGAGGTTGAGCTTGTGCTGCAATCTGTTGAGATCACAGTTGATGTCGGATGGAGAAAGTCGCCTGATGCGAGAAGGCGGACTTAGCATGAGTGATTTGGGTACATATAAGTATTGCTTTGTGTCTTCACACTGAGGGGTGTCGTTACTTTTTGTAGTGGTGATTAGAATGACTTCTTTTCCCTTCTCTTTGCAGGCGTTGATGAGTAGTTTGAGCACGCGGACGTCTCCTGAATTGACGGCGTACACCAGGGCGGATGACCCGGGCGAGTCTTCTATTCTAGGATCGGCTTCCTTACGGAGAAGCAGCTGGACAACGTCAGCACCAGCTTTCTCTTTACAGGCATATATCAAGGCTGTTCTACCGGCTTTGTCTTTACAGTTTACATCCGCCTTGTTGTCAAGAAGATAGCGAACGATTTTGGCCTTGTCAACACTCTGATCATCCTTATAAGTACTCATACAGGCGATCATCAGGGCGTTCTGGCCGTCCTCATTGGCTGCGTTCACATCAGCCCCGCCCTCTATCAACAGGCGAGCCAATCGCAGACGCCGTAACCAAGCTGCTTTCAGTAGCGCGTTACCCTCCGTTTTCACCATGTTAAGGCTAGATCCATCCGCCATGACCATGTGAAATACTGGTTACCGTCCGCTAGGCAATAGTGTACAACAAAATGTGTCAATATTCCACAGTCTGATGAAGCATTCCTCCTACCCGGTACCACTGGAACTCAGCCTGCAGGGTTCACACACCTGTAGAAGACAACAGAAGTATAAGTCAAATTTTGAAGACATTTATAAATCGTGGTTGTAAAAACGGCTTATGTAAATCACGTCCAACTGCAAGCCAGTTCAAACTACATTTTTGTAGTTTATTGAAAAGACGCAAGGTATCGTCGTGCCTGTGTCTCGTCGTCCAGACACCGAACTCGCCACCTGATTCTAGCAGAGACTCTAATCTCCAAGCAGATCTTTTGGTGGGGGTAAGACAGTATCAAATTGGCCAGTCTGTATCCATTTCCCCACCCAAGATCTGCCTGCAGTCGAAACGTCAAGTTGTTGCCTGATCCTATATTCTTGCCAAGTAGTTTATTTGGGTGGGGAAATGGTTACAGACTGGCCAATTTGATACTGTCTTACCCCCACCAAAAGATCTGCTTGGAGATTAGCGACTGTACCATGATAGTGAGATATCACAGTGATAGAAAGGGGGATATCGGATGAAAGGCGGGAGAAATGCAATGTACCTCAATTTGCAATGACCCCGTCACCCATGACCAGGTCAATACGCAAAGTAAGCCGACACAATTGCAAGGTGGCAGAACACAGTTTTTTTTTCATATAGGGATTTCTATAGTTAATATAAACACCCCAAGGTGACTCACTTCGACGCGGTAAAATTATTGTAGGGTGCACTAGAGAATCACGGCCAACTAATATGTTGAAATATATGGTATAATCTACAAAATAACTGAGAAAAAGTTATGCTTTTTAACATATTGACGACCTCTTTTATAATTATATGGTCACCTACGGAGGACAACTGAACTGCAGCCGACTCACCCTGGAACGCAGTTAGTTGCGTAATGCGGCGAATTTATACACGAACAGGAAAATGAGCCCAATCCACATCATACGGTTTAAAAGCTGATGCATTTCTATACCACACAGCGCAGTTTACTCATGGCTACTTCTCACGTAAGTCATTCTAGTCAGGATCCAAGAGTTTTGTCCGCACTACTTTCTATACCGCGTCATAGATTACCGCACATTAATACTGTGTTCTGGGGCCTTCACATGAGTGTATGAAAGGCGGTCCCTGATTGGCCACAGCATATGGTAATTAGACCCTCCCTGACAGACTACACAATACAGTATGTCATTTGTCAGACAAGCTGAAGCTGTGAAAGGACGCGTCTACAGACTTTCCTGCCTTTAATCAAGGACACCCTTCATTCATCAAACTGTTATCACTGATACTCGCAAGGTAATGTCTTGTTTTTTTAAGTCTCTTTCAGATTGATGTTACACCATCAAGTTAAACCAAGGAGGTTCAAAACAGAGAAATTTGGACCTCCTTGGTTCAAGCAATCGAAATAATTGCCATTGTTGACTGATGTAGTCTTCCAGAGAAAAGATAGAATTACTAACAACAGAATTATGTAGCCTGCCACATGAGTTCCTCCAAGAAAGTCCAATAAGTTTTTGTGGCCTCCACCAGGCCTTCCTACGGTGGTACGGATCTTAGAATTTGCCAAAAAGGGAAATAATTAGCGAAGAAAGTCAGTCCGTGGGAGGGTTAAATTTTCTCCTCCGAACCCCGCTGGCGAATGAACTTGTCGTTGCTAAACTCCCCCTGGCCGGTTATTCTCACTATTGACTACATTTTCCTGTTTCTGAACCCACGTCGTTAGTCAGGAAGAGACTGAAATGATTTTAGACACTTTGTTGAGCCTGATTTTTGGGAAGGAGAAAGAAACCTAACAGATGTTGTCATTATTATGTAAATTGCACTGTTACAAAACCCATACAGGCCTATACATCTCAGAGGCAGACAATTTGCACAAAAGATTTGTTCGAAGAGCTAGAATGAAAGGTCACTTTTAGCATAATGAATGTACGGTGCCTGACCACGGCGGTCTGTCACTACGGTATTCTTTCCCATTGCTAGGCGCGTTCTAAAAGGTATCGGATTACAAGACGCTATTTGGGCCGAGTTTGGCCTACCAGTAAAACACTTGAAAATAACAAAAAGGATTTAATGGTAAATTTCGTCAAATTAAAATGAAATTATTGCCTTAACATCCTTTCAATATTAGCTGTTTATGTTAAATCATTGATTTTTCAAAATTTCGCTCCGAAAGACGATTATTTTCGGATTTCCGACCACAAGTCATGCCATGTTTTTAGGCAAACATCGTTTTAACCTGGCTACAGATATTACCCCAGATTCCCGATTTTTATATTTTTCGACGACTAGGAATAAGATCAAAAATCGTGTTTTAGGGATTTTTTAATTTCTGATTTTAAGTCTAGTTTTTGTCGACATATTGGTGAAAAAATGATCTTTCTTTACATTTTTCGCACTAAATTACCCATAATTCAAAATTGAGAACATTTTTAAAAAATCCCTAAAACACGATTTTCGGGACAACCGTAACGGTCATTTTGAGCCGTGAATGGGGTATGCTTGACTTTCCATGCTTGCAGGTTAAAACGAGTTTTGCAGACATGTCATGTCGACCAAAAGTCTGCATTGTGTTATTCATACTGGCGTAAAGAATCATTACAGTATTCAAGGTCACCCAAGGATACGACAGTAGCTTCGCTACATGTTACATGTCCACAAAAAAATAATAGCGGACATGTACTGCCCAGGAAACTGTTTTTATCTATAGAAAAGTGTTGTGTTTTATCTGTTGCACGGCACGGAGGCAGAAAGGCTTGTTTTGCCGCTTTATTGTAAATGACCGCAGGTGACCCCGAAATAGAACGCGGGTTCGATTCGAATTGCCCAGATCGAACACTATCGAACACAGTTCGGGTTCTATGGCATGTGGGAACTTTGCAACCCAGATTTTACCACCGTGGACATTGGTGTTTCTTCGAAAGCTTCTGAATCAAAGCCGGATTGAAGCCAATCTATTCCAGAACACTGTCTGGTGACCAGTGCCGGCTCATATTAGTACTGAAAAGGCCTGCCTACGCCGACTTGAAGTTACTACTGTAAGTCATGTGCAACCGGTATTTTCTTTATTTTTGGCTGGACTTTTTTTTCTATTCGCACACCTACATTGATTTGGGGTCTTCAGAGGATGCTATTTTTTAAATTTAGTCAGTGTGGCCTGATATGTTTTCAGATATTTAAGTAAAATAATTGGGCCCACCCCTGTGTCTATTGTTTAAGAACTGTAGTTAGTCGTACTGGTATGCGTTACTCCGTCTGGGTTATACCACTTTTTCAAAATGGGGGAAAGCAGGTCCCGGTAGTATTATGACCTTAGCCATGAAGGTTAGTTTTCAGAGGCGTTCGCGTGTGTGTGTGTGTGTGTGTGTGTGTGTGTGTGTGTGTGTGCGTGCGTCTGTAAACACGATAACTTGAGAAGGCTTACATGGATTATCTTAATATTTGGTAGGTGGATAGGTTTGGTATGGTTAATTTAGATCTCCATTTATATATAGTGAATGCATTTTTCCACTATTCTACCGTCTTGCTAAGACCTCGAAATGATTAGATTTTCGGCTCTTAGCGGCTTGTTACGGTACTGCAGCTGAACTTCCGGTTTTAATATCTCATGATTTAGACATGCTAGGGGCACAAAATTTGAATGGTAGGTCGCTCTTGTGCTGGAAAAGAAGTGACATTAGTTTGGGCTTACTAGCGGCCTGCTCTAGAACTGCAGGGGCGTTTGTTGAAAACTATTTAAGGAGGATAACTCAAGATCAAGTTGAGTAATCGTCATGATTTTTTGGTGTGTAGACAGCTTAGGTGATGCTTGACATAATTGAATGACAATTATTCAAATAAGGATCTAATATGCATAATAAATGAGCTCAGGAAATTCTATCAAATTACTGAGTTCCTTGATAGACCCGATCAAACTTGTGACATATGTAATTGAGAGCAAAAGGACATTAGCAGATAACTATTATGTAAATAAAGCCCTAATTTGCATAAGTTTGAAAATTTCGTAATTCCATAGTAGTAACTGCTGGGGATTTCATGATTGCAGTATCTGTAAGTTAAACGAAGGTGAGCATTATTAAACATAAATTATTCAAATCAGGACCTCATTTGCATAATATATGAGGAAACCTTAGGATAGCATTCTTTGTTAGGATAAGACTGTCACAGGTGGATAATATGATATATTTCATGATATAATTCAGGCAAATGATTATCTCATTCGCACTGTCAATTAAAACATAATTCGTCAGTTGTAAGGCAAACATAATTTGGCGAAGGTATGAAGTCGTGGAACTCATACCGTATTTTAGGTTACGTTTGTCTGTTCGTACCTATACTTAATAATCACATGGTTAGTTATTGAGGTCCCAAATTAAAAAAAAAATGATTTGTGGAGATTTCATTTTCATGTATTGTAGGAGGATTATTCTACAACCCCGTGCTCGCTGTATGTGGTGTGGTATTGTCTATCAATAGCTGTTTCAAAATCGTTTCAATAATGTTTCACTAAGCTAGGAACTTATTCATTATTTCTATGTTTTCATATTATCAGGACAAACATTCATCACCATGGCAACAAGAGCGCTGACGTCAGCTTCACCGCGCACTCACACTGGAGAGAAACCCTACAAGTGTGAGGAGTGCAGCAAGCAGTTTAGTGAGTTCGGTTGTCTGAAGAAGCACATGCGGACTCACACTGGTGAGAAGCCCTACAGATGTGAGGAGTGCGGCAAACAGTTCAATGAATTGGGTTCCCTGAAGAAGCACATGAGAACTCATACCGGAGAGAAACCGTACAGATGTGAGGAGTGCAGCAAACAGTTTAGTGAGTCGGGTTGTCTGAAGAAGCACATGCGGACTCACACTGGTGAGAAACCCTACAGGTGTGAGGAGTGCAGCAGGCAGTTTAGTGAGTTGGGTCATCTGAAGAAGCACATGCGGACTCACACGGGCGAGAAACCCTACAGATGTGAGGAGTGTAGCAAACAGTTCAGTCGGCTAAGTCACCTGAAGATACACATGCGGACTCACACTGGTGAGAAGCCCTACAGGTGTGAGGAGTGTAGCAAACAGTTTAGTGAGTCGGGTTGTCTGAAGAAGCACATGCGAACTCACACTGGGGAGAAACTCTACAGATGTGAGGAGTGCAGCAAACAGTTCAGTCGACTGAGTCTCCTGAAGATACACATGCGAACTCATACTGGTGAGAAACCCTACAGGTGTGAGGATTGCAGCAAACAGTTTAGCACGCTAAGCAATCTGAAGACACACATGCGGACTCACACTGGCGAGAAACCCTACAAATGTGAGGAGTGCAGCAAACAGTTCAGTGAATTGGGTTCTCTGAAGAAGCACATGAGAACCCATACGGGAGAGAAACCGTACAGGTGTGAGGAGTGCGGCAAACGGTTCAGTGAATCGGGCTCTCTGAAGAGGCACATGCGGACTCACACTGGTTAGAAACCCTGCAGATGTAATTAGTGTAGCAAACCGTTCAGTTCGCTGAGTCATGATCTGAAGACCCACATGCGAACTCACACTGGTGAGAAGCCATACAGATGTCAGGAGGGTAGCAAGCAATTCAGTCATCCGGGTCACCTGAAGAAACCCATGCGAACGCATGACAAACAAACAAACGCACGACCAACTAATACGTTGCCTTGCATTTATACACGAACAGGAAAAAGTTCACAATCTAAATCCTACGGTCTAAAATCTGATATATTTCTAAACCACACAGCGCAGTTTACTCCTAACTACCTCTCACATAACATGCTCTAGCCAGGCTTCAAGAATTTCCTCCGCATTACTTTGTATACTGTGTTTGCGACCTCAAATCGCGATGCATTTCTGATCGATCTGGTCCCACCTGGGAGGTTTGTGTTGTAATGTGACTTGTCCAGAGCGGCCAGACTGGGCCACATTGATCCTGCTTAGGTGGATTCTGTCCGGAATCTGATTAGCAAAGCTTAGTATGAAATCTCGACCAAATACAAGTCGGTTCAGGCTAGAATCCTTGTGTTTAAGTAGTTTAAAGAAGGCGTCGCGCTAATGTCAGATGTGTGTTTCTCCAGACGTCAACTTTTAATTGATGTCAGACAGTTATATATTGTTTCATATGCAGCATTACGTCGATGAATGTTAGACATCCAGGTAATAAGATACGCCAAAAAGCAGTTACTCAGCAACTGGATATGATTTTGGAAGACACACTGGATATGATTTTGGAATTCCAAAACCAACTGAGTAACTGCTTTTTGGCGGATATGCAGCATTGTTATAACTATTCTATAGAATGACACTTTTGTAAATGGCTTTACAGACTGGCAATTCTGTAAGACTTGATGGAGTTGTGGTCTCGTAATTTTTTGTTTTTGATCTTGAAGGTTTTTTTTCTGTTTGTACGGCACTGCTTTTACGGTTTTGTATATTGCCTTTTTTTGGCCATTTCCGCGGCCACCTAGACTTAGACCGTTATAAGCATTTAGACAGTATCCTACAGGCAAAATATTACCTTTTCTGCATCACTATTAACCCTACGTTTCATGCTGTAAAACACAGGCTAGAAAAAGCTTAAGCTAGCAAGCTTAAGTTTTTGTAAGGAAATAGTTCCATCAGGTTGGTAAAGTATAGGATAGAGGAGTTTTCTTTTACACAACCAAGATAGACTAACCTTGCTGACGTTTCAGTGTCGCCGATCTCTCACCGCTTATTGTTGTACATCTGTAGTTTAATTAAGTTTTGTAACGTATCAACAGTTCCCGTCTGTGCCTATAGCTAATTGTCTTATTGTTGCAAATCTGTAGTTTAAGTTTTGTAACGTATCAATAGTTCCCGTCTGTGCCTAATTGTCTTAGTTCCTAATATTTATCAAGGACATTTTATGTAACGTTATATCTTGTAGATGATCGTATAGTGTGACTGCCCTTGTACCATGTACCACTTTGTACTTTTTTAAACAATAAAGACGTTTCGAAAATAAATTAAAAATATGCAAAGTAAACTGGCTCAAGTTCAGACTCAAGTCGCGATGCGCTCAAACCGGTTCGAAACCACCTCATTAAGATGGTTTGGGATCGAGCCGGTTTCAATGTGATCTGGAGCGTTCAGATGGGGTCACATGAATCCTTATCTTGAAAGTTCGAATCATCTGTGTTGGTAGAAATCGTTATGAATCAAGTTTTGACTGTAATTTCCAACACAAGAAAATGGACACACCCAAATTTTCGACTGTAAAACTCAAGTCTTTGTCAAGAAATGAACAATCCACTGCTTCTGTGACGTCACGCAGATAACACACGTGACGCAGTGGATCATAGGTTGAAGAAAGGTTCCCTCAACAGAGACGGGGGACGCCACAGACTTTCTGCAACCTATGATCCACTGCTCACGGAGTCACGTGTGTTGTACAGTCAAAAATTTGGGTGAGTCCAATTTGTTGTGTTGGAAATTACAGTTTAAACTTGTTTCATCACATGAATCGCTGCTTCGATGGAATGTGGATCCAATACGATTCTGGCGATTTCGTCTAAACAGGGTCTTAGACCTTCGATCCGGATCGAAGCCGGATCAAAGCGAATCTATTTGGCTCGATCCGGACAATTCTATCCATGAAAGGGGCCTTATATTGACAAGGGGTTCGATATAGAAATGAGAGAGATTCCCTCTATACTAGTATTTTTATCAAAAATATTAAAGTTCCCTAGCTTCAGATTTTTAGATTAAAATTCCTATTTCTTATGAAACTTGACAAACCATGTATCATGCATTGCCTCCATATGTTCGTACATATACAACTGCCTCAAGAAGCAAGAAGAATCCGATTCAATAATATAAACAAGGCCTTACTGAATATCACCACACCTGGCTGAACAACAGTGTCAGGCACTTCTTTCCTCGTCAGTCGGGCAAACAAAATCCAATCTAAGCGCAGGTCGAAGGTCCCTTGTCGCGTCTGCTCGCAATTAATTTCAATCGATCGCACTAAACAGCAGTGTTCTATATTTGTACCTTGCGCAAATTCCATCTACTGGACAGAGATCACGGAAGCTATAATTGCATCCGCACCATTACTCTTCAAAACGTTTGTCTATTAGCGCGAGTGGGGCTAATTACTGTGTGTTGATGTGGTTAGGCCACACTGACTTAATTTTATGGATGACATCCTCTGAAGACCCCAAAACTAGTGCGCGAGAGCGAATAAAAAGAATTCCGGCCAAAAATAAAAATGCTACTAAACCACAGGAATACAAAGCTGGTATTGTGAATTTGCGGCAATACATAGCGACGTATACGAGAAGCTGGCACATGCTGGCTTTTTGCGAAATTTATGAATCGGCAGTGTACGTATGTACTCATTTCTTGTGTCGTGGAGCTTCGGCAGCCTGGGTGCCATCCTCCAGAGTTACCACCGGCTCCGTATTGTCACTAACTACCATGGACTACCCAGGCCTAGAGCCAGGCCAGAGCCTCGGAGGACGTAATTACCTTTTTTTTTAGAATAGGTGAAAATCAATGCGCGCGCGGATGGCATCCATAAAATTAAATCAGTGCGCCCTAACGGTGGCCGCTCTATCTGAAGACAAGGTTCGCAAATGGACATTTCAACAAGACGGGAAGGCAGAAACGGTTTTAGACGCCCCCGCAACACCAGCGCACATATTCCGCCCACCCACACCATTTCCATTTCATGACTTGAAGGAGGCCAAAGATTAACGTAGGCGTCAGACATCAAAGAAATTCAACCATGCAGCGGTATGTTTTCTCTTGAGAATCAACTTGGAAGACGCTTAGGGATCCTCTTAGACACGCCGCCTTATGTGTAGGGCAGATTCTTGTGTGAAAAACAAACCATCCTGACTTCCTTTCCATACATAGGTTTGGACCTAGGCTTATTTTTGGCATGTTTTAGGCGTTTTAGCGGGCTCTCAGTTATATTTCTGTCCGTCAGCAAATGGTTTCTGTCTGGCAAATGGATACTGCCTAGTCAGTTTGATACTATCTTTGCAGGCACCCAAAAGATCTGCTTGAAATTCAGTCCTAGCCAGCTTTGATGGTTTAGGCTGCGTTTGGGCGCGAAGAATTTTTTATTCCAATCTGTGTTTTATCTCTATACGACTTTGAAATGGGCCAAAAAATGGCAATATCTATTCTCAACCACAAGCTAAAAAATCATACAATATAAATGTGTCCGAACAAAAGACACCAAGAAAAATATCTGAGATTAAAAAAATTCGGTATATGAAGAATAATGTTCACAATGATTTTAACAATTTCAGACATCATATTAACAGCAATGCTACCATAATTTAAAAGATGGGTGATGCCATAATTATAATACACATACAGGCTAAAAAAACTTTTTGAAATTACGATGAGAAAGGCCATATTATTAGTGACACATGTCTTAATCATAGTAATTATATCCCCTGTGGTGCCATATGAGTCCCATATGGCTAATAAATGACCGAAAGAAACAGATTATTTCAGACAGTTACAACAATTTCTCCATCCTTTCGTCATTTAGAAGATCACCAAAAAACTGCATTTCTACTAAGATCACAAAACCCACTAATTATGCAGAATGTGGGACTATTCATTATCCACTGCCTTCAAAGAAGAAGTCGAACCCCATAATAGCTAGCGTAGTAGTAGAAGTAGAAGTTTTTTTCCAGACAGTTGTTACCTGTCTCCTGTTACTGTATTGCAATGTGTTTTATTCTTGATTGTAAAAGCAATTAGCCTTCGGGCATGATTTTGCAAATAAAGATATATGTAGCTAATAAATCACGTTTTCACCAAAATCAGTGGCGTCGGTGGCGCAACGGTTAGAGCGTTGGACTCGGAACCGAGAGGTCCCGGGTTCGACACTCACCGTGGCCCGACGTTGTGCCCTTGGGAAAGGCACTTTACACGACTTCCCCACCTATACGGTGGAGTGACGCCCACCGAGCCTCTTAGGCAAATCTGTCTAACTGTGTGCCAAAAATATATACTACGGATTTGGTGCGCCGATGTGACAACATCTGCACATTGGCCACTGAGAGCCGTTAATTATTTTTCACCAAACATGTCAAAATTTATTCCTTCTAAATTCAAATCGGATAACCTAAACTCAGGGTTATCTGATTTAAAATCTGAAAACTATGTTTTATTTGGGGCACTGAGACCTTTAATTTATAAGCTCGGGTACAGCAAAGTATCGAATATAATCCCTCTAAATCATTTGTCAGACGCCTGCCCCAGGAGATGACTTGACGGATATCAGGTGTTGTTTGGAGGCGTGCTGACTGCTATTTCTGTAGACGTTATTGAACATCATTCTGTTTTTGGTATGCTCAATTTAGTCATAGTCTGTTGAGACTGACATTACATATTGAACACCACATACAGCACAAGGGTGTCAACACCAAGAACTAAACACATGACATTCTTTCCCCGTACGGCCTAGCTTTGGAATTCCCTCCCTGACAAGTGTTTCCCACCAACCTACAATCTACAGGCTTTCAAATCAAACGTTCACCGCCATCTCTTGACATAGCCATGTTTCTCTCATATTTCTAGTTCTATGCCGAGAAGTGATCGTATTGGCCTTGCATTGAACCACTCCGTTAAAAAAATTCCGTCAAAATCATTCAACAGGACCGTGAGCTATTGGTGCGAACAAACAAACAAACAAACAAACAAACAAACAAACAAACAAACAAAACAAACACACCAACATCAGGCCTTTCCGTCTACCCTGAGGTAGACATATTAATTGTCTCGATCGTTTTCGCTGCCATGAAACACGGGCTACACACTCGTTATTTATCACAGAGTATTGCACGGGCCCCTACAGTATCTGAGTTTACACTTACAATATTTTGCATCATCTTGTCTTGACTAGTCTGACTTTTGTTCCCTTTTCGACTTCAAAAAAATTGTCTTCACTTTATTTGAATATCAATCAATAGTTTGTGCGTATAAACCTGCATTTCTCTTAGTCACTGACGGAAGGTAGTGGATACTAGCTGAAACATCTGACCGTTTCCAAAAAATTATCCAGTTGCTTGAGTAACTGTTTTTTGGCGTATCGTATTACCTGGATGTCTAACCTTCATCGACGTACATTTACAATAGTTCGGATATGTTCAAAATGGCAACTATTTCTGACACGTTGTGTCGT